CACTCGCGCGGCCCGCCAGCACGAGGCTCTGACGCCCTCGCCCCGGTCCGCGCCCGCAGCCCTGAGCGACACGTCCAAGCTGGACAGCCTGGAGATGACGGGCGCCGATGGGGGGCCGCCTCCGTCCGGGTGGCGAGGAACGTCAGCGCCAGCCCCCCGCCGTCCGGCACCTGGGACATCATGTTCGACGGACGCACCATCGCAGGTAGCCGGGCGGTGGCAGTCTGGGCGCGCTGGACGAGGGCTGGGACGTCCTCGTGCGGTGTGTCGGCTGTATTCAGCGGAGCTCGGACTCAGATGTCATGTGGTTTTTGAGTGTGTGCTGTTCGTAATGTGTGAAACGACGCCCTGGTTGCCAGGCAGACAGAGCGTTCTTTACTTCCTGTTGCTCGTCGAATTCCATCCTGACTGTCAGACGCAGTGCTATTCCCACTTCTGGTGTCAAATCTCGTCCTTGCGGGATGATGGCATACCATTTGTCAAACTTCCCTCCCCTGGTATACGGCGGTCACCCCTCTTTGCTCGCTGCATGGCATCAGGCCCTCGCCGCCGTCAGCTAACGCGCCTTCGCCGCCGGCCAGGCGTGCCGACCAATCTGACGGCGGAAGGCATGACCCTGCTGCTGGGCACAGGGCTGGCCATGCCCGGCATGATCGTCGCCCGCTGGGGCGCGTGCCACAACCTCCACTGGAACGTCGCCTTCCGCCACCACGGCGGGCGGCAGCCGCTGCTCGCCGTTAACGGCAGCGGCGTGCTCTTTGACGGGTACGGCCCGCTGGCAGCGGCGCGGTCCCAGCCAGCCGGCCGCCGAGGGGACGGTGCTTTGGAGCCGTCGGCGGCCGGTGGTAACAGCGGCCGCCGGACGCTCTTTGATGGTCATACAACGCACAGATATGGTCGCTGAGGGGTCACACGGGGCTGGTCGCTTGCTGGACCGCTTCTGGGGCGCTGGGTGTGACGTGTGGTGTTCACTTGGTGTTCAAGGGGTGAGCTTGCCGGTCATGTGTTCCAAATGAGTGCCGAGGATCACATCGAGAGACATCGCCAAGCACATTTCATTCGAGGTTAAGGCATCGTATTTTCTCCGCCATCTGGGACATGTGTATCGCGGGCGGTCGTGTTATGACGTTGTATAGCACCATAATGATCTTCCAGCCCCATCCGGCTGACTAGGCGAAGCAACATTATTCCCTAGTTCAGGCAACCTACGTATCAGGCTTGGTGTCCACAAAAAGCAACGTTTCCGCGTGTCTGCGTTCTCTCAATCAATAAAAACTATCATGCAACTAAACTCGCCTTAAAAGGTGCGCTCTTTGTTCTGGACGGCATTCACCTGCTGGCCGGTTATAACCAGACGCCCCTGTTTTGTCCAGTGACAACCTGCAGGTCGGCGTGTGGAAGGACACGACGAGCGGGGAGGGCGGTGTGACGCACCCGTACCTGCCGGCGGACCTGACCCGCCAGCCGCTGGCGCAGGCCGCCCTGCAGGTCCAGGTCAGCGTGGCCGGCGTGACGGGTCAGTGCGCCAGCGACTGTCAGGTCACGTACGACGCCGCGCTCAACTCTCTGGTCACCGCCGTCACATCGGAAATCGGTGAGACTTGCTTCCACCGGCCTGTGAGCAGAAAATGTCATGCCCTGGTAGTGGCCGACGTGAACACTGTTGGCGTATTTTTTGGCAGGCCTTCAAGCGAGCATGGTAGACGCGTGAAATAGCATTCCGAGCGAGAAAAGTGGATCCATATAATTTGCTTTAACGTACATGGTTTACTGCGCTGCATTTTTGCTTCTATGTCCATGCTCAGCACAGCCATGCCGTAACCTTGTTAAATCGAATCTTTGGAGCAATGCAAATTATTGTCGACTAACCCTCCGTACTAAAAAAACAACATCTTCAAGCGAATGAACTTGTGGTTGCCAGAGGATGACACAGGAGACGTCACCGTGGCCCTGACCGGGGTCAACCTGGGCTCGACCACCGAGGGGGTCAGTGTGACCTTGACCGGCGCCATGGCCACCCGCAGCTGCACCGTGACCTCTGCCACGAGCACCCAGGTCACATGCACCGCCAACAGCGTGCAGGCGGGGAGGTACAACGTGACCCTGACCGTTTCCAATCAAGGTACTGGACGTTGCTGCGCCTCATTTGGTAGGGTGTGGAGGCTGATCAGTTGCGACAGACAAGAAGGGTTTGCATCCCGGAAATTGCGCTTGTATAACTGGTCTAATTGTTCTATGGCAGTTAGCAAGACATTGGTCAGGAAGACTAGGCTGACGTGGGATGTCATGAAATTGCGTGAAACGTTGTAATTGCATGCTACTTGCATGTCACGTATTCGTCACTTCATGGAAACAGCGTTTCATTCAATGGCTTAAGACATGCGACAGTTGGTTTCGTATTTGCGATGCTACACTTTCTCCATTTTTAGCACCCACACTTCCCGTGCACATCCAGGTTACATGCCTACACGATCGGACCTACACATACACATTTTGCATACGTACACAAGTATAAGTGGATTGTAACATTAAAACCAAAAGCTGTCATGTATTGACCTGCACGCCCAGCTCCAGTCAGACCTTGTCATATTTGCGCCGGCACCCACGGCCGGACACGGTGCTCCTCCGGTGAGACGGTGCGGACCGGCAGGCATGGCTTCCGGTGGCGGCTCTGTGGACGTGACCCCGCTGTTGACCTCGGTGACGCCGGGTCAAGGCAGCCCGCTCGGCGGTACCGTGATCTCCGTGCAGGGCCGCCGGCTGCCGCTCGCCCTGGCTGGCTGGCAGTTTGGCGAAGTCACCGTAGGCGGCGCCACCTGCCGAGTTATCAACACTACGTCTACAGCCTCCAGCTGCGAGATACAGGGCACTGTGGTGAGATCATGGAGAAGCACGCAGCGCTGGGATGTAGCGATCGTTTTCCTACTCTTGGAAGTGAAGATAGGCTGGGCGAGTTCTGTCATATTCTGTTTTGTAATACTCTAGGTCACGTAGCTAACAGCAGCACGTGCTCATTATTGCATTCATTGATGTTGCGCTGGTAATTCTTAACGACGAGATCCGCACCTCAAGGTGCATTGAGATATATGACTTTTGTCAGTATGCTGGCAAATCTAGATTGAACATATTCGGAAATCATTAGGAGTTTGCGTCGTGCTTGGTGTCCAAAAGCTGTAGCAACAGGGCCGTATTTTTTGCGCATCGTCATCACTGACGTTAGCGCAGTAATGATCGCAGTTTGACCGGTGTCATCGCATGCAGGTGCACGAATGTCATCTTGGACTTCAAAAATAGCCCTGGTCGCTCATAAACACACCTGAATTCGTAAAGCACAGACATTATCATGAAGCGTCTCACTACGTTTAAACCATTGACAAATTACTGGACGGAGTCATTTAGCTAATGGGCCTATAAAAAGTTCCTACTTCCGCAACGTTCACGCAACCCGTTGCCCAGCTTGGCGTCCTTTCAACAAGTCACCGTTCAAGGGGTCCCGCCATCGGTAAGCACTCGTAGAACAGATTGCACTTCCCTGTTCATGACCTCGAGCACGCCTGTGATGAGCGCAGCCCTGCTCGCTGCCAGCGGTGGGCGGGACCGCTGCTCCGCCGTTCTGTCGGTGCTTCCTGCGCCGGCGCCTCTCCGTGCCGTCCTCACCGTGCCGCGCCCACCCCAGGGGGAGGCTGCCACAGCGGCGGACGTGACGGTGACCTTTGGTGACCGGAGTACGGCGCTCGCCGCGGCGTTCAGCCCGCTGGCCGAGAACGCCGTGCTCTCCGCCATCAACGTGACGTCATCAGGAGCAGCAGGTCAGCGGCGGTCAGCGCTGGGACAGCGCTGGGCAGCGCCGGGAGTGGAAATCGGGGCTAGTCTCAGAACTGGCGCCGGGGCGTTGTCGGAAGATCTCTTCCAATGTTTTGTTTTCGGCCGGCTTTGGGAATTGGAATACCATGTTCACGCATGGAACGTGTGCGGTATCTTTCTGTGTTGGAAGTAGGGTGAGTTTTTGTATGGAAATGCTTTATATGGTTTCTGATCTCATGAACCTCGGGTTGAATGCAGCTGTTGCCTGTTGTTTGAATGCACTTCACATGCGACTGCATTCGGAGGCAAGTAGCAAAGAGTGATTCTACCACATGGAGTAATGGTATCTCAACTCCAAAGTCGGCGGTTCCAACGAAAACTGCCCATGGCACCATACGCAGTGAATCTGTTTCTTACTCAACAAGTACTGGGTCACTCGGAACCCCATTTTCCCCTCAAATAGCTATGGCCATTGACTGTGGTATGTTACGCCCGCTACACTGGACAATTACCGACCTGGTGCTGCACCACAGGAGTCCGACCCCTGACGCCTCCGACCCCAGACACTCACCGCGGTGCCCGGTCCCTTCAGGAGGTGGTCCCCCAAACACTCACAACGGTGCCCGGTCCCCTCAGGAGGTGGTCCCCCAGACACTCACAACGGTGCCCGGTCCCTTCAGGAGGTGGCCCCCAGATACTCACCGCGGTGCCCGGTCCCCTCAGGAGGTGGTCCCCCAGACACTCACCGCGGTGCCCGGTCCCCTCAGGAGGTGGTCCCCCAGACACTCACAACGGCGCCCGGTCCCCTCAGGAGGTGGTCCCCCAGACACTCACCGTGGTGCCCGGTCCCCTCAGGAGGTGGTCCCCCAGACACTCACCGCGGTGCCCGGTCCCCTCAGGAGGTGGTCCCCCGGACGCTCACAACGGTGCCCGGTCCCTTCAGGAGGTGGCCCCCCAAACACTCACAACGGCGCCCGGTCCCCTCAGGAAGTGGTCCCCCAGACACTCACCGCGGTGCCCGGTCTCCTCAGGAGGTGGCTTCCTGGGCATCACCGGTTCTGGGTTCGGCCCGGTGCAGGCCGACCAATCAGTGACGGTGGGCGGGGCGCCGTGTGACGTCACCCGCTGGCGCGAGGAGGCCGTGACGTGCCGACTGCCGCCGCTCGGCCACGGCCAGCACGCCGTCCAGCTGCGCAGGGGTCAGCTGGGCCTGGCCGACAGCAGGTGTGTCATGGGTCCAGGGTCATGACCTGTGCCGTCACCCAGCCGTGTCGACAGCTCTCTCCATCGCCACGTGTGGCTGGGATTTTAGCGGCTTTTGTGAGTGCAAAATAGCTGAAGATGCTCCAAGACCAAGGAGCATGGACAAAATGTATTATTAGCGCGGTCAAGGGAGATTTTAGCGATCGCCTTTAGCGATGGTGTGCTCTGCTGTATGCAAGCCCCAATGGTTGGCCAGATACCAGAAGACGCTCGACCTCGCAGAAAGCTTATCTATCCAGTGGATGGATGAAATATTGTCCAGTCAGCGAACTTTATATTACAGCAATCCGTAGTTCACCGCCAATACATCGCCCGGGTGATAATTGAGGACGTTGTCCACCCAAGCAAACTGCATCGTCCAGACGTATGACCATACCGTATCTTGCTACCCAGGGAGTAACGCAACATTTGGGCCGGAAACAAAAACGGTAATTTATTTTCCACAGTGGCATTGGAGCGATCAGCTACCAGTTTACAGTCTCTGACATATCACCGCGCCTCGTCTCCGCAATGGGAGGATCCACCGTGCGGATCACGGGTCAGGGGCTAGCCGCCGACTGCCAGAGACTGGACATCACGGCCGGGGACGCCTTCGTCTGCGAGCCGGTCACCTGTACCGACACGGAGATCATGTGCCTCGTCAACAGACGCCGGCGCCGCCACGTGATTCGCAACAATGCAACACACCCGCGTACGTCCCGTCCCAGGATTTCCGGGCCGGTTGTTGTCATGTGCCGTTGTGCAGGATGCGCAAGCGATCATGGAACTAGAGGTCTGCAGCTGGTATTATGCATGTATGCCATCAGCTTGTCAATGTTTTCACCCCTGTCGCTGTTCTCACCACACACCACATCGTCTTACAGTCCTGGTAGAGCCCCTTCTCACCTGGAGCGTGCTGCGGCCGCCAGCCAGAGCCGATCTCACTGCCGTCCTGGTGGGGGGGGGGGGGGGGGGGGCGGTCGAGCGCCCACACGTACCTCGAAGTCGGGTCCCGGGTGCGGAATGGGGCTCGGCAGCGGTGACAGCCGCCATGATCCCAGCTTGTCCCACCCCTTGCCTGTCCCTTTACTCCCATAGCACTCAAATGTTCAGTTATGGACGAAAGAGGATTAACCTAACTTGCGCAACCCTCTAGTTGTTCTCAGTGGTACATATCCGTGTAGAAATAACCCAAACCTCCAGTAGTATTCAGTGGCGCTCAGCCGCGTAGAAATAGCCCAAACCCCTAGTTGTACTCAGTGGTGCATATGCGCGTAGAAGTAGTTGCGATCGTCGAAGAGCTATTGGAGTATGCCTTTTTACCTACACGCTTATCGTTGGCAGTAAAAAATGCATACTGCCCTTGCTGTAGGGCCACGTTTTTCGTGCCCGCATCTCCAACCGTCAGCACCGCAGAACAGATCATCTGGTGCTGACGGAGCTGTGCGCGGTCGCCAGGTTACGGCCCTGGCTACCTGTGGCAGCCGCAGCACCTGACCGTGTGGCCCGGTGACCTGGTCACCTGGCGCTGGGCGCCGGGCCAGGTCAGCTCCGACCAGGTGGGCTTCTCGGTGCACCAGACGGTCGACCAGCACTCGGACGCGTACGACGGAGCCGGCTTCAACAGCGGCGACAAGACGCCGCAAGGTGTGTGTCTGGGAGCGGCACGCTGAGAGATGGGCCGAGTCAGCTGACGCGCTGCCGGGGATGGCGGCTAATCTGCTGACAACCGACGATGAAAGGGACAGTACCTGCGTCGTCTCAGTCTGCCGTTCGCCCTGATCGTGGGCATTTCATAGCTATTGATGTACGTGAATGAAAGCGAGGTCCCTGCGAAGGACTGACAAAGGGTGCGATAACCGTCAAAGCGTCGGACGTTTGCCGCAGGATCATTCACCACCATGCTGGAGGATATCGGCACCGTCTTCTACTCTGGCGAGTCGGTCGGAACCAACACAGTGCGCATGCGCGGGGTCATCCACGTGGTGGCGCCGCCGGCTGGCAGCGGTGTCCTGTCCGTCCGGGTGGGCTCCGTGGAGGCGGAGTCGACACCAACCGACGGGGATAGTACGTACACTGCTGGTGTAAGCTAGCATGTTGGTATGGATCATGTCATTCGCGTCGCGGTCGGCCAGTGTCGCCCAGTGTGCATTAGCTTGGTGCGGCTTACTAAGCAGGCCTTGCTGGAGCATGAATTGAACAAAGCTGATGGCATTACGTGTCAGTGCGATCCGTGTGATTGGTATACGTGCTCATAATGCGTGCTCATAACTGCTTGGTATTGTCGTTCAAATGGCACCTCCAGGTGTAATGAAGCTCTTTTGATTTCAACAGATGTTTGTACACGGAGGGGCAGCTAAGGGGAAGGAGGTCCCGGGGTCCCAGGAACTTCTCCTTTTACTCAGGGGCCCTGTATAGGCCTTTGCGCTCGGAAACGGGATACAAGTATGCCAACAGTACTGAGACCCCTCCCCTCGCTTTAAGAAATTCTGAATGCTTACACATGTTTTGCGTACCAATCACGGAAGGCACTGTATGGTGGCCGTGATTATGAAAGCTGTGATTTCGGCCAATAACCTTGCCTTTGCTGATAAAGTCCACTTCCTCTGTGCTCACTATGCGTGGGATCAACAGTGTACAATAAACGTAGCCGCCACCTTTCGAAGTTCGGAATACCTAACGGCGAGATATTTCTAGTTCTCCTCAGAACACGGCCCAGTGCTATGGTTAGCTCATGATGAATGTATCAGAGCGTGCGTGCATCACCGCGTCGGCCGTGTCGGTAGTGCCGGCGTTCGTCCCCTCCGAGGTGTGCTCCGAGGACCCGGCACCGGCCGCCTGCCCGGCGTCGCCGGCACCTCTCGTGCTCACGGCGGCAGACTGCGTCACCGCCCGGGTCACCGGGGTCAGCGTCGCCTCTGGCGACGACAGGTCAGCTCACCCAACCCGCCCAAGCGGTGGGCCGCGCTGTCTCACTGTCTGGGGGGGGGGCTTATGTCGAGCTGGGCACTCCATTGGTCACCGCCATCTTGCGTTTGCGAGTGGCACATTCAAGCTTGCCTTCAGCCGTGTTCATTCTTATCTGGATTTGAAGTAAGTTAACCTAGGCGTACGTGCATATGTGAGCAAGTAACAAACTGATCTCCTAGCCACGATATGACTTGCTACTTCAGGGGAGGTCAGGCCATTAAGCAAGTCGGTAGAGCTTTTGATGGATCGCATAAACCCATGATGTGGATAGATTAGTTGGTCAGGAATGTATTGAATCACGTTTAAAAATATTGATGTTGGGGTTAAATTGCATTAGCAAATCGAAGAGGGTAGATTGCTTGGAATGTTTACAGAGTCCGTTGTCAATAAGCCATGCAGAAGTGAATGTGACGATATTTGCTACTTTCATACATAAATCTGAAATTGGCCCGGATTGTGAGGCACTGATCGGAATTGTTCTTGTGTTGCGTGCTACCGTGCTGGATTGAAGGCAGTTGTGAGAAATGCGAGCGGACGCCTTGCCCGATTTGATTCAGAACTGGCTAGCGGGGTTGAAATCGATCCTGGAAAGTTTAGTTCCGACGAGTCCGACTGCGTGGGGGCGTCGGCTTACAGCGGTAGATCCTCCGTCTTCAGTGCTGGACACATGGTGGAAGCCGGCTCCGAGCTAACCATCTCTGGGGCCGGCTTCTCCGAGACCGCCTGCCACAACCGGGTCACGCTGGGCTCCGGCGCCTGCCAGGTCACCTCGGCGTCGGCCAGTCAGCTGACGTGCCGTGTGACGTCAGACGGCCTGCAGCATGGCCAGCCGCAGCCCCTGGCGGTGCGCGTGGCCAACAGGTGAGCCCCGGTGCGGCGAGGGGGAAGGGAGCTGTCGCGCCGCGGCGGAGGCGGCCGGCGGCTGATGAGCGGGCGCCGCCGGCGAAGAAGGGCGCCCCCGCCGTGCAGGGCGCTATTGGCGCGCTGCCGTCAGCTGTTTCTGGTTGGCGCTTTCACACCTGGCAATCTTTGACGTCGGCCGATCAGGGCGATTCCGCGTGCGTGGCGTCTAATGGGCGCACACACATGCGTGAAATGCTATCATCCGCCGCCGGCGAGAGGGCGTTCAGCAATCCGTGAAACAGTCGGAGAGGCGGGTACTTATTACCCTCATTGCGCCATGATTCCCCGCCGCTCGTATTACCGGTGAATCCCAATTGGGGAACTAATTAGATGGATTTCATTCTCGGTATTTGCCAGGTGCCTTCTTATTACCGTGACTGACGTTGGCTCCAGGTGATGTTGCCCCGTCATCGTCGTGTGGGACACCACCCGTTGTAGGCAGAACACAGTTGTTGTATGTTGCAGTTCTTTTACAGCAAGCTAGGTAGCTGCGGCTGCTGGTCCACTGCGTGCTTTGCACTGAGCGTGGACATCATGTTCGGCGTGGCATCATCGAGCGTTTTAAGTCTCTCTCATCGCAGTCGTCATATAGCCTCGGCAGTTGAGTGTGTCGTAAAGTCCCAATGACAGTCTTCCTTATCAACATCAGGGTGTTCCGTAGTTCGGTAGCATTTTGCACCCACGTTTTTCTTTGGGAGCAAAACACTTGACGACGCTTAACCGTATTTTTCATGCGATGAATCGCCATTTAATTACACGCGGCAGGGTCGAATAGCCTCCACTTGAGGTCTTGAGATCTACGCGACCAGTTCGATGCTGTATGTCTAAAATTCACCACCGGAACATGACTTCTGTTGTATTGCAATGTTTCAAAAAATCACTGACTTATTTAGGAGCGTTCAAAACGGAGCGAAAAGCGTTGTGTAATACCGCATGTCAAGTGGAACTCAAGGACACGTTACGTGAAAACCGATTCAGTATGCCCATATAAAGAAGCATACGACACACACAAGTCTCTTTTTCACACAATTTAAAGGAGTTCAATCTTAAAGCACTGGACCGCGTCATAACTTACAAACCTGAACTCTGGAACGCAGCGTGAAGATGGCTGATGCCGACCAGCGAGTCGCAACCTGACGCCACCGTGCTGACGCAGAGCAGGGGAGTTGCCGGCGCCCGACGCGGTGCTGCCGTCTGACTTCGCCGCCTCGCCGCTACAGGGGCGCGGCAGTGATCGACGTGGCCGCCGGTCTGAAGTACTTCAGCTCTGAGCCGGTGGTGTCCGGCTCTCTCGCCGACCAGCGGCTCCCCGAACGGCGGCACGCTGCTCACGCTGACCGGTGAGAGTCCTGGGTGCCCGGTGAAAGTACTGAGTGCTGGGTGAGAGAGTCCTGGGTACCGAATGAGAGTCCTGAGTGCCAGGTGAGTGCCTTGGGTGCTGGGTGGGAGCTTTGGACCCAGGCACCACATCTGGTCTCTGGTCTACCCTGCTGGTGATAAGGCAAGTTGTACGTGGCGATACCACCGACTTGGAAGGAGACGTCTTCTCACTGTTGGCGAGGACGACAGCGCGGGCAGCCTCAGGCTGTTAGTGAGAACGACAGCCGACTCGGAGGGAGGCATCCTCTCGCTGTTAGTGAGGACGACCAGCGCGGCAGCCTCAGGCTGTTAGCGAGAACGACGGCTAGCGAACTTCCGGCTGGTAGCGGGAGTGACTGCGCAGCAGCTTAGTCGAACGGAACTTGCTGTGGGCGTTTGGATGAGAAGAAAAACGTCGTCAGCGTGTGTGGGAAACAAATTATAAGAAGGCACGCAATTCGTTACAAACTCGTTTTATTTATCAATAGTTATTATGATCAACTGCTTATAATGTCGACCTGCACGACCTTTCAGTCGGGCCCTTCCGGTGCGACGCCATTATTTATCGTTAATAATATCCTCTCTCACCGCCCTTCATGCGGTATGGCCGGAATGGACGGGATGGCCGCTCAGGACACTGCTACGACCGGCCGACAGCACTCCGCCGCTGTACCGTCACCGCCTGCGGCGGTCTCCACTGCGTCTCACCGCCGTCTCGGTCCGGTCTGTCCCAGGCTCCAGCCTGCTGCCGGCGTCACAGATGGCAGCATCAGCTGTCCTGGTTGGAGGTCAGGCGTGCCAGGTGCAGACGAACACCCTGTCCACGCTCACCTGCTTGACCCCGGCTTCGGCGGCCGGCCAGGCAGGCCCGATGCCTGTCAAGCTCGTCTGGGATGAGGATGGCGTGGTCAGGTCAGTGAGCTCGCCTTCGCGGTCGTCCGTGGGTAGGCGAGTCGAGATTTTGCATGGCGACATGGATTTAGTCGTACCATTATGAGCCCTGCTATTTCTAGCGTGTTGAACCAAAGCTCAGACAGCGGAAGCAGCGCGAGCTGTGGTAAAGCTGGCGGTCGGCTCGTTAACGTTTGTTTTCATCGTATGAGACAATTTGAAAACTGTCGGCTTAGGGTTTGTGAAATTATTTCGGAGCCAGAAATTTACTGTTACTTGATATTTATACTTCGGATCACCGAATACTGACCCAACGGCATGCTGATACTGAAATGCAAACAAAAAGACAGGCCAAAACTGCCATCGATAGCTTTCCAGGGAACAAAACATTTGTGGTGTCAACTACAGGATTTACTCCGCTGTTGCTACCATGATGCTGCTTGCCAGCCTGCAGTTCCCGCATAGCCTTTAACCAAAATGCTTTATGCCAGGACACTGGGGAATATGACCTTCACCTACGACATCACAAGTCTCCAACACTGACTTCGGCCCAGGTGGCGACGAACGCGCAGAGGACGCTGACCATCTCAGGGACGAACCTGGGCAGCAACGCCTCCGACCATCGTCATCCGGCTGACACCGGTCTTGAGCGCCGCCCGTCGGCGTCGGCACGTCGACCCGCGCGCGACACCGAAGTCATCGACCCCGACGACGTCACCGAGGCAGAGTCGCCTGCCGAGGGCGGCGCGCAAGAGGACGCGGCCTTCTGGAGTCGCTTCTGCGACGGCCGCTGCGCCAACTTCGACGAGTTCGTCAGCAGCGGCCAGCTGCGCGCCGCCGGCTCGGGGCTGGAGCCGACCCGCGCCGCGACCGTGGCGCCGCCCGGCGGCACCCCAGCCGAGCTGGACTACCTGGAGCTGACGCCAGAGTACGTCAGCGCCTTCCACGAGGCCGTGCTGGGCCGGCGGCGCTCGCGGAGGCGCGTGCACCTGCGCCGCCTCGCCGGAGCGCCGCCGCCGACCCGACTGAACTGACCTGCACGCCGATAGAGATCAGCGACACCAGCGTCACCTGTCAGCTGGACGCGGAGGCGGCCGGCGAGTACGCCGTGGCGCTGCAGGTGTCGCAGCTCGGCCTGGCCGGCGACACGGCGACGGTGACCGTGGCCGCCCACGCTGGAGACGGCCAGCCTGCCGGCCGGCTCCGTGCACGGCGGCGCCGCGCTGCAGCTGGCTGGCGCCGGCTTCGGGCCCGACGCGTCCGTCACGGTCGGCGGCGAGGAATGTGAGCTGACGGCGCGCTCGGCCTCGGCGCTGACCTGTCTGACGCCTGCGGGCGAGGGTGTCCAGCCGGTGGGTCACGAGCGGCGGCCAGACCGTGACCGGACCCGACTACACGTACTCGGCGGAGAGCACGCCCGTGCTGACGTCCGTTGTCAGGTGGGGAGTCCCGCCAGGGCCCGCCCGAGTCTGCCTTACCCTACCCGAGCCCGCCCGAGTCTGCCTGACCCTACCCGATCCCGCCCGAGTCTGCCTACCCTACCCGAGGCCGCCCGAGCCTGTCTGACCCTACCCGAGGCCGCCCGAGCCTGTCTGACCCTACCCGATCCCGCCCGAGTCCTGCCTAACCCTACCCGAGCCCGCCCCGAGTCTGCCTGACCCTACCCGAGCCCGTCCGAGTCTGCCTGACCTTACCCGAGGTCGCCCGAGTCTGTTCGGTCCGAGCCATACGGCCACCCGAGGCCGGTTTCTTCTCTCCGATCGGTCTGCTCACAAGGCGGCTAATCTGATAAAGGACAACGTCGCACCAAGTCATTCTCAGACCTTTACTGGACTCAGTAACGGGTAGAGATAATATTCTCCGTTTATGACGGTGGCTTTTGCCATGCGCATTGCTCGCAGTCTACCGATCTTGTTTGGTCAACTGCTGCGGCAGACGTTGCTCCATGCATCCATTACCTCAAATAATCAGCTGTACGCAATGCAGCGAACTGCGTGGTTGTGTTTACATTAGCGCGTAGTAATCCCGTATTTGGACCGTTGGCAGCCGTGTTGGATGTTCGTGAGCTCATACCTGGAACTACCATCGTCCAATACGTGGCGTTGGTTCGCGTGCAATGGTATAGAAGCGTGGTGCACGTGAACGCCATGGCTCGATAGAATGTATGTCAATGATCGACTTCAAATGTCTCCGCCCATGTCAACTGCACGCCGGCCGCGCTCCCTCATCAAACCTGTTCGTTACCATAAATCATCACTCGTGACGACACCTCTCATACGAGTCTGACGCCGCGACCCCTCAGTTTGGATAACGGCGAGGTGACGCTGGTCATGTCTGCCGGCACTTGGGCTGGCACCTCCGGCAGCAGCTACCTCATGGTGGGCGGCAGGCTCTGCAACGTCAACAAACAAAGCGACACCCAGTCACGTGCCAGGTGAGGGGGTGAAGCGAGGCGTGACTGCGGCGGCTGCGGCAAACGAATGTTCGGCGAATGGGCGACTCGGGCTCGGTGTTGTCTTGGTCAAATGCCACAAAAATTGGTGGCATTTGACCAAGACGGCTGTTACGAATCGTACATTCCTTATAGCGGCTTGGTGAGTCGTCATTCGCATGGTCTTCGCGCACCCCTCCCAGCACGAATGCCATATGGTATGTTGCCAAACATCCCTGCTGCCCCGTCCATTCGGTGCGCGGTACTAACGTGTCGCTGTTCGGCGGCAGCTGGACACGGTTCTGCCCGCGGACAAACACCCCAGTGACCTTCTACTCGCCGGAGGGCACGGCAACTCGGCGCCCTTTGACCTCACAGTGGAGCTGGCCTTGGCTCCGTCTCACTCAAACACCTCACCCGGTAAAAGGTGAGGCTGCGCCCATTCCGAACGGAGAGAAACGGTTGAAGCTGTTGCGGAGCAGAGTCGTACCGATGAACCACGCTGCCGCTCTTTTCTCCGACACACATCGCTTCGCCGTGGTCATTCGTGCACCGGACGCTGAGCAGCCGTTCTGTGGCCGTTCCAGCGGGTATCAGCGGAACGACGCTGACCCTCGCCGGCGGCAAGTTTGACACGGTGGACCCGGTCACAGTGACGGTGTGTGACCAGGCCTGCCAGGTCACCACCGTCACCAGCACGGAGATCACGTGTCTCGCGCCTGCTGTTCAAGGTTGGTGCTGGTCGTTTCAGTGCACTGAGTTCGGTGCAAACCTTGAGCGTTTGCGGGAAAGTCACACGAAAAAGATCTGCGCGAAATGCCCATCACTTCGTGCATATCTGCGGCGGCGTTTATACCATGGTTGAGCTGTTTTCTTCCTCGATGCAAATGCCGCGAAAAAATCGACATGTTCGAATTATCGGAAGCATTATTTAATACTGGTGTGCTGCATGCTTTATGTTGCTACTATTTATTTTTCTCATCATTTTTTGTTCTAAATTGCATTTAAATGCTGACATGTCATGTACGAGGCAGGCTGCACCGAGCACTCTTCTTCCTGTGCAGTAAGTGCTCACCTACCGTGTAAGTGTGGCCGTCTGCTGGTTTCGCGACATTTCGGGGCTTCGTGCTAGAAAAATAGCCGACCCTGAGTGTGCTAAAAAATGGTAAAAGGATGGCGACAAACAGCCGCTGGAATCCATGTTGTGATACTATGTGTATATATATATGTCTGTGGTGTGTGTGTGTGTTGTGTGTGTGTGTGTGTGTGTGTGTGTGTTATGCTACGCATCACGTATTGTGAAAATATGTAAGCACTTGACTTTTTCCTTACTGGTGCCTTCCTTGCATATGGAATATCGGCGTTCTTAACTCAATAACTAACTAAGCTATAACGGAAAGTATCATATTACGTGTCCATCGAATATGCGGCCTCATCGATACTTGAGACCAATACCAATGAAAATCATGATCTCTTGTGGATCGAGGTCACGCATATACTCATCAGGCTATTCTGGCTGTACCGCTGACGTCACACTCGTGCCGCAGCGGCCCCGGCGGCGGCCTGTGACGTCACTGTGACGCTGTCTGGCGGCCAATCGGCGGTGGCGGAGGCCGCTCTGACGTACGACGGCGCACTGACGGCGTCATTGACCAGCGTCACGCCCAGCCGGGGCGGCACGGCCGGCGGCACCAGCATCACCGTCACAGGCACCGGCCTGGCGTGAGTGGTCACGGGCGGGGTCGGTGACACGCGCACAGAGGCTGGCACCGACCGGCCAACGCTCGCTACAGGCCGCCGGTGTTGGCTAGAAAACGCGGGCAGTTGGAGAATAGATGCATGGTTGCGTGACGTTACATGTAAATGTGTTCCGCTCGCAGAAGCACTTATCGGTGAGGCGCCACCAGCCGGGTAGGGCATACAATTTCAATGTTGTTTTCTGACAGCTTTCTCTGGCGTTCTATCTCAGCTCTAGTATCGAAGTGGTTGGCATTAGCCCACCAACGATATCGGGGTTGTGGAGTGAGTGCTGGTGTCGTTTCATAGTATAGTCGCTTCTTTCTGTCTATGAAATGTACAGTGCGGCTCCTCCACTGCGCATTAACTGCTGCTGCCTGTCAAAAAAGGCATGAGATGACCTTTGTCAATTACATTGCTTCGGTTCCCCACAACAAAGCCAACTGCTCACCAGCCGTAACGCGCCGCGCGCGCCCGCCGCGCGCTCGGACGAGCTCGCGCCGACCGCCGCTCTCCTGCCGGCAGCGCCTCCGGCAACCTGGTGACGATCGACGGCGTCCCGTGCGCGGTGACCAGCGAGAGCGCCACGCAGGTGGTCTGCGTCACCGACGCTCACAGCGGGCCCGGGAGGTTCGCCGTCGCCGTTGACGTGCCTGGCGTCGGCTTCGCCGCGGTCAGTCGGAAGCGGGCGCCCGGTCACCCGGCGCGCTCCGTGTGCGGCCATCTCGCGGCCGCCGACCCGTGCCGTGCTGAGAGCTGGCGTGGCGTGGGCGGTGGCGTGGGCAAGAGATGGTGTTTTTGTGATAGGTCGGGGGTGTGCGAGTTATAATTCAAGGCATTATGCGATGGAGGCTGCGTCTCAGTGTCGTCTTGTTTTGGGGGATGACTGCGCTCTGCTTCAGCATGTGAACGCCGGTCCCCTCTGGCTCGGTGATGTAAGGAGCATACTTAACTTCATCGTAGCGTATTGAAGCCCGGTGGAGACCGTCCTCCAGCACATGCAATGCTGCCCTCCCCCCCCCCCCCCCCCCCAGTGGTCGGGTGTTGACGTCACGGTGACGTGTGTCGCAGGCCGGCGAGGAGGCCGTGTTCCAGTACGTGGACCGCTGGTCGTCGCCGTTCACCTGGGGCGACAGTGACCCGCCGTCCGACGGCCAGTCGGTCAGCATCACGGCCGGCCAGACCATCCTGCTCGACACCAGCACGCCCGTGCTCAAGCTGATCCTGATCGACGGTGAGTCCCCCTCCCCCTTGACGTTGAGTCCCCACCCCCTTTCAGCCCCCTCCCCCCCCCCCCTCCCATTCGGCCTGCAGTCCGGTCCTGCCTGCTCCGGGTCGCCGATCATCTGTTCTAAAGTGATGCATCGCGACGACAGATGGCGACTCCCGCGGCGCTCGCCGTGTCCTCGGCTGAGGATGTCGACCGAGGCTGCCCCAGACAGCCCAGCCTGGTCCAAGAGCGTTCGCCATGTCCTTGGCTGAGGGTCCTGACCGAGGCTGCCCCAGACAACTCCAACCCGGCCCGAGAGCGCTCGCTGTGTCCTCGGCTGAGGGTCCTGACCGAGGCTGCCCCAGACAGCTCCAGCCCGGTCCGAGAGCGCTCGCCGTGTCCTCGGCTGAGAGAACTGACCGAGGCTGCCCCAGACAGCCCAGCCCGGTCCGAGAGCGTTCGCCATGTCCTCGGCTGAGAGAACTGACCGAGGCTGCCCCAGACAACTCCAGCCCGGTCCGAGAGCGCTCGCCATGTCCTCGACTGAGGGTCCTGACCGAGACTGCCCCATACAACTCCAACCCGGCCCGAGAGCGCTCGCTGTTTCCTCGGCTGAGGGTCTTGACCGAGGCTGCCCCAGACAGCTTCAGCTCCGTCTAAGAATTCTGCTGTTCCAGTGGCTTGTTGTCGTCCACAATCGAAGCTACGTCTGTGGGTGTGTTTGTTAGTTATCCTGACAGGTCCAGGGCGATTCCCACGTCATTTCGGGAAATGTGTCTGCTGAGGTGTCTGGGAGGCCATGCTGGACCCCGTGCCGCCGGGCCGTACGACCTCAGTGACCGGATGACTGAGCCGCGCGAGCGTCGCCAGGCGGGGAGCTCATCTTCGACCCGGAGGCGGCATTCCTCGAACTGCACGCCGAGTACATCGTGGTGCTGGGCGGCGGCCGGGTGCAGATCGGCACCGAGCAGGCGCCGCACGCCGGCCAGGCCGCCATCACGCTGCACGGCAACGTGCGCGCCACCGAGCTGCCCGTCTACGGTGCCAAGGCAAGCGTCGCTGACTGGCCTAGCACTGGTGGCTATAGGCACAGCCTGGAACGTTCAATTTTATTGACAGAACCACTGCGAGCCTGACAAAGTTGTTTGACTGGTGCCTCCCGGCAAACTGAAGGTCGACTATCGTCAAAATGATAAGTTGCAAGTCATGTCGCCTACCGAAAAGCTTCGTGGTATGTGTGCGGTTAGTTTTCTCCATTGCATAGACAGTCAATCGGTGCGCTCCATGGCAACGTTTATAGGGTTTGAAGCCCGCTTCCGGCCTTCCCCCCTCCCCCCCCCCCTCGTGATGGTGGAATTTTATCATTTCCAAATGCATGGTAAATAACGATAGCGCTTTGCACTTTGCAGTTGCATACATTTGTGAATATGTATGAATGACGGGGATGACGATGACGATGACGATTATGGTGGTGATGGTGATGATTGGGGCGATGAGAAGGGTGTTGCGGGTGCTCTGGTTGTGCTGAGTTTCGCTATCCGGCCGCCAGGTGCTGGCCGTGCGGAACGGCACGTTGGACCTCCACGGTCTGCCCGTGGCCGTTCCCTGGACGTACCTGGCGAGCACGGCGGCGGCGGGCGCCAGCAGCCTGACCCTGGACCGCGCCGTCAGCTGGCAGGTCGGCGATGAGATCGTGATCGCCTCCACCGGCGGCAAGTGAGTCGGCCCGCTCGGGGCGGCGTCAGGGCGAAGGGATTGGGAACCACTGGTGTAAAGAGCAAACGTCAGTTTGACCGGAGAGATTTGGCTGGAGGAGATATTGACTGTCATAAGCTCTACTTGCGGAAGCTTGGGTGATACATTGACATAGCGCCAAATGGAAGGGATTAAGGTTGTCCACTTCTGGGCTGGAGGGGCTTTGCTGGCGAGGGCTGCTAGTGACCTGTCACGGAAGGGGGGGGGGGCAGGGCGGGATCACGTGTTTGTCGGTGACCTTGTCTATGGGACGGAAATAGTGCGGGACTGGGGTGAGGGCCCCAAGCTGAAGTCGTAGCGACCCCTCCAGGACGGCTGATGCGTCTAGAGGGAGCGAGAGTCCACTGTGCGCAGCTGTGTCTGAGCGCCGCGCCTGAATCGGCCCGGTGATCCGCGCCGCAGGCACTCGATGAACGAGTCGGAGAAGCACGTGATCTCGGCCGTGTCGGAGGACGGCCTGACTTTGACTTTGGAGAGCCCGCTGGCGTTCGAGCACATCAGCTCGGAGCAGACGTTCGCCGGCCAGACAGTGCGCATGCGCGCAGAGGTGGGCCTGCTGACCCGCAATGTCAAGGTGCGCGGTTCCATCAACCAGGAGTTCACCGAGGAAGTGAAGGCCTGTGCGGCCGGCTTTAACCCAGGTGAGGATGGGGTCAATGATGGAGAGCTGTGTGAAATAGCGAGTCTCGCGGCTGCACAGGCACTGGCCGTTGTAGTGTTTGGTGTCATGACGTGACAGCGTTTGTTGGCATGAGGCCGTAGTGATGATGTGCAGTATTGATGTTAAAGACTTGGATCGAAGTCGGACATCGGCGGTAACAGTTGCGCAGCGTCGGGGTCAGTGTAAGCCACGCTCAATCCCGGAAGAAATGAGTCAATATCTTCTTTGAATGTTATCTGCAGGCTGGACTTGCATGATTCACAACATGCCGTTACACACCGAGCTGTCCTGTCCTGCCTTACTCTGTCCTTCTCCATCGTGTTCTTTTCAGTATGCCTTGTCTTTATCTTTGCTCCTCTACCTTGTTCTTTTCTGTCCTCACATACCAGCATCGCCGTTCTTCCCTGGTCTGACCAAACAGGTGCAAGCCTGACCTGATCCGACCAGGGCTGACGAAGCCTAGACAAACCTGAACAACCCTGATCTGATCTGACCTGATCCAATCTAATATGATATGTCCTGACCTGATTTAACCTCACATCTTACCTCGCCTGGCCTTATCCGACGTAAACTGACATGGTCTGACCTGAGCTAACCTCACTTGACCTTATCTGACCTCACCTGGCCTAATCTGGTCTAAGATGACCTGAACTGACCTGATCTGACCTCTCCTGAGCTGAATTGACCTGACGTGACCTCACCCGACCCTCAGGTCAGTTTGACACGCAGACCTGCTTCCGCGGCCGGTACGGCGCCGAGACGTCGACGGACCAGTTCGGCGCCACCATCATGATCCACGCCAAGTACCAGAACGAGCACCTGGTCACCGGCAGGCTGGAGTATGTGGAGGTCACCGAGGCGGGACAGGTCGGTCAGAGGTCAGGCGTGCCGACGGCTCAGCCGCATAGGTAGATGTTGTCAGTTTACGACTGGGTGGAGAGAAGAGATAACCCAATGCAGTGTTGGCAGCTGTCATCAGCACGGCAGAAGCTTTCGTTTCACTGGCGTATTGTTTTTAGTAATGTGGTGGGGAACTTGACCCTGCCTGTGTGAGCGCGCATGTCTCGCTGGTTCGCTCATGCTTCGGGTGAAAACATTGGGTGCTTTGGTAGCGTACATTTTGCTGATCACATCAGAGGCATCAACATTTGTGACATTTCTCGTTTATCTACCGATTCATTCAAAAACGGCAACTGGCAGCCAATTATTCACGAATTTAACGAAGGCTTCGAGCCCATGAACAGGGCCAATCTATCGCCAGATTTATGCGTAATCCCTCGTATGTCTACTGGCCACAGTTAGAGTGCATTTCTTTGTCGGATTGCAAAATTATGCAAGCATTTGCTGTCCAAGAACCGCCAACATGCATCTTCGGTAAAGCTTAACACGCGCCCGGATGGTCGGTTGAATGCCCTTCGCTCAGGTGGGGATCAATTTGACCGCCCCCCCCCCCAATATTTTTAAGATCTAGGACATCTGGAGACAGAAATTTGCGCAGTGGATTGGCCTGTATGTGAACTTACTTGTGTCAGCATTTGAGATTCCCAGGTCTTGATCTTGTGGTTGAATAAGGTCAAACAAGGTCAAACTCTAGAGTAGTGGGCAGTGTCCCTAGACCTCTTTTTGCAACAGCCGTGAACTTAGATACCCGTTCAAAGCAAAAAGTCAGCAGTATTCATTTAAGGTCAGTGACCTCATACGACCTTGGAAACGTCCATAAACATGTTTGTTGCGGTCCCTTCCATTAATAAATTCTAAATGACCACCAGAAACTATCTCATAAAGCAAGCTCTCGAGTAAAAAACCAGGTTGGTCTTGACCTCGGTCTGTTCCTATCTAACCCTAACTCAATCGAGTTTGTTGTTATTACACGTTCAATTTGTTTATTTCCCAACGAACTATCTCAGAGATGTATGGTTTCGTCCAACGCTCCGTTGGCACCCAGACCGAACGATGTTCTCCAAGTGGCCTTCGCTGACAGCCACGGCCTGACTTTGGCCCATCATAGGACATTGATCTTGCAGGGCGCATTCAATTATTTGATGTCAAATACAAACTGTTCAATTTCCTATACCTATGCAAAGTTTAGCGCGAGCACACCGAACCGTTCGGAAATCATTCAGGAAAAAAAAATATTTCGAGTGGGTGGGGTCAAACTAATCCCGCATCCGAGCACCTGAAACGTGAGCTGAAACGATATTGTAACGACGATATTGTAACAATGTTGTAACGACGAGGTCAAAAGGTGGCTGCGACATGACAGTACGTTTCTTTGCGAGCTCCCGACTGAAGGCTTGTAATCTTGCGGCCCGTATTCTTGTGCGCTTACATCTTGTGTGGTGATCATGAACTCGACCAGAGAATAGAGGTCTTCTTAGATAAATCTGTCAGCTTTAGTGACGTTACCTTACTTCAGGCGTTCCGTCTGGGACGGTACCCGATCCACTTCCACCTGAACGGCAACGTTACCGGCTCGTACGTGCGAGGCTGCGCCATCCACCGCACGTACAACCGGGCCGTGACTATCCACGCCGTCGACTACTTGCTGGGTGAGCCGCTAGATGGCAGGCCGGATGCCTCGACCTTCGTCAGCACAGCAGGTCACAGGAGCCGCTTTCTATGTGATTGCAAGTTTAATGTGAAATGGAATGGAAGCGTTCTGTACGATGCGATAGACAAACAAGGGCTGAGTTATACAGGAGTGAGAGAGTTTGTTGAAGATTGGGGGAACTTAGGGGCACTTTGAGGCGTTTCTCTCCATTCATCACCGTAAGTCTAATGGTCAATTTTCTCTTCTTCTTCTTCTTTTTTGAGGGGAGGGTCAGCTTCCAAAGCCCCCACGATGCGATAGCTCCGACGCCTATGGAGATACTATGTCATGTAAAGTACGCTTCGCTTTGCTGTGGCTGAAAACGCAGGATTAAACCTACGCGCAACACAATAAAACCTTCAGGTAATGAATGGGTGGAGCCCTTGACGATGGCTGTCGATGGCAGACGTGACTGAGCGGTTTCTCGCCACTTGTTTGCCATGTTGTAACGCATTGTGCTGGCTTTCAGTCGAACACAACGTGGCGTACAACAACATGGGGCATGCCTTCTTTACGGAGGACGGCATTGAGGCGTACAACACGATCCAGTATAATCTGGCGATCTTCACCAGAACTTCATCGTCCCTCCTGAACGTCGACGTTACGCCGGCCTCGTTCTGGGTTGTCAATCCGACCAACATCGTGAGGTGAGCGCCGTATTATTATTACGCCGGCGCCTGTGCCGCCGGCTGTTCAGGAAGTTATTATGTTTTTGGATGTGTATCGAAAACACGTTTTGTGTAATTTGCAAGGGTACCATGGCGACAGAGGAACCAACTGTGTGACATGCTTGAGTAGGTCGCTTTAATGTCGTGATGAAGCTGTTTTTAATTTAAGACTTGTAGAGGCGCAGTGATTGGAATGAACTACGAATGCGTTGTTTAGATAACGCTGGATTTACCTAGAAAGCATTGTCAAATGCCACGCGATTCGTTCTGCCGACTGTCAGCCGATGCCATCACAACCGCC